ACAAATTCTTTCAGCACTTCTCTCATGGCTACTAAATTCTTGATGTTGAAAACATGGGCTTGTTATATAAGCTAAGCTTATATCATAAGTCTTAAAGTCTTTATGCCTTCACTTGCTAACATTCCTCCAAGTATTTGGCCTTCCGATCTAGCTAAAAGAAATTACTTCTCATCTAGTCTGTGCTATGAAAATATGAACCTACAATAATCACTTAAACAAGTCTTTAGATGTCAAAATATATGATTTATTATCATCAAATAAGATAGTGAGGTATGCTTTCATTTTTTTTCTCTCTTTTATTTTTTGAAAGATAGCTAGTTCACCAATCGTCGTACAATTCCTTTTTTCTGAGTAAATCTCTCTTTCGGATCATATGAATGAAATAGAGAAGAGAGGAATCGGAAGGTAAGGAAATGTGATAATGAAGACAAACAAGAAAATGAACGTGTAGAGCTTTCATATGGTAAAACTCGCATAATAGTTCAAAAGCGTACATCCAAAACGGGTTCTGATAAAAAATGCTTTGCAACATATCCGCGAAGAATACCCTACAGAAGCAACCCACAACTAGAGATTCAAGTGTGTATGTTTGTTCTTGGGTCAAGTCCAATTTCAAAGAGAACATACCCCCTTAGTTAATTACATCTTGAGGAGCACCTAAGAATACTCTTGATTAGAGGAGTCATGCTTACATTCTAAGTGACAACTAGTATAGGGTGTCACAAAAGAGGGTTACCTCATATGAACATCCGATAGCTTTCAAAACTCTTACTAAGACATATGACAGAAAGTGAGTCTCTCAAACCCCAAATGAGTAGTGGCTCGTCAGTACACGTGGCTAGTGAAGTAACCTGGTTGACTCATAGAGTCCGCACTAAGCTTCCAAAGCTAAACCGGACCATAAGGGTAGAGGGTGAATCATCGTATTCCAAATGGGCGACGACCTATCCCAATTGAGGCCTATAAGACGACATCGACGGGGCGTCAAAAGGAGTGATATGGATAAAAAAAGGATAGCAAATGGAGAGTGGAATGATCCTAATAAAGCATAGATTGTTAGGTCAGGAAACTGCGGATCCGTCAATCCAAGTTATTAGGGCCCCAAGTCTACCTAGTTGTGAAGGTAGTTGACCTAAAACAGCTGAAGAGCCCCATGTCAGCAATCTGTGAATTGTGTCGTCCAAGGGGACCTCGATAGCCCTAAGGTCAAAAGAAGGTGACTCTAATCCCTTGACCCAATATATGTAAGAAGAGCAGATGTAAGATTTATACCTGCCAAAGTGGCGAGGATGTCGCTGAAGTGAAAGGAAAAGAGAGGTCCAACTACAAAGCTGAAAATGCTCTCAATAAAGGACTTTCTCCTTGTCTGGGTCAGGGAAGCTACTAACACCTAAACACATTAGACAATCACCTAATTAGAAATTTATGTTGAGTCATTCAGGTTGGAGAAGCACGAGAATTTTTCCTCTGGACATGCAGAATGATGCAATTGTCAATTCAAGTTCTAAGTGTGGAGGCCCTAATAAAATTGTGATAACCATGTAATGCAGCAGTTTAAAATCTAGCTCAAAGGTCATACAAGAAAATAAAGACAGATTTTGAATAATCTTGTAGCTTCTAATCCTAAAATTTGATTTATCTTAAATTTTAAAAGTGATTTAACAGCTTGATTAATGCTTTCGTGGGTAGAGATATATACTTTGTAATATTATCAATAATGTTTGGGTTGCTTTAACTAACTAAAAAGTTATTGTGATAATATCATTTTAACAAATGAGCCTTTATACAATTTTAGCTCTATTAATTCTAGTAAGAAATTATCTTCTAAAATTGTCTTACTTAAAGCTTTCAAAAAGTATATATTTATACACCACGATCATATTTTTTTAGAATAATACTTGTTAGCTATTATGATCGTGGTGTAGAGATGCATCCTTTTTAAAATCACTTTCGAACATAAGCCTTAATCCTAAATTTTGATCTAGAATACATTTGACCTTCCAATTAACTACCTAAAACTTTTAAAAGAGATTTAATAGCTTGATTTTACTCATATTTGACCAATTTTAACATCATTAGGTCCATCCTCTTAAGCTTGATAATTTTGAAATCAAAGTTCTAGATGATTTTTCATTTGAGTTTGAGTACTTTTCGCTCAAAAAATACTAAAAAATTTATGTTAATCATCTCAAAATTCTTCATATTTGACCAATTTTAACATCATTAGGTCCATCCGCTTAAGCTTGATAGTTTTGAAATCTAAGTTCTAGATGATTTTTTATTTGAGTTTGAGTACTTTTCGTTCAAAAAATGCTCAAAAATTTATGTTGATCATCTCAAAATCCTAATCAAACGATAAACTTTGTTGATGACATATTAATGCCGGCCGGACTTGGTAGAACATTGGGTATTTTTTTTCTTTTTTTTTATATTTAATTTGTTAACAACATTTTAATTTTGTATGCACTTAAAAATCAGCTTTTTAAGAAGTAATTTTCTTATTATTTTCTAAATATAGAAACTAATTTATAAAATACCTTATATTTATGCATGAATAAAATCATTTCATTATATCAATGTGCACATTGCCTAGTTATATTTCCTCTCCCCTACCTTCATTTTCATTAAATTAAATCCGTTCATATAGCACTCTTTCAAACCTCAAACTCATTCTTGCTAGTACCAATACTAACTTTAACTCCAATAAATGCATGAATGAGAACAAGATAAATAGCTATGCTTCGTCTATTTCGGTCTCAGGCCTTTGTACTGAGGCTGGAAGGTGGCTTAACGCTATAGGAAGAAAAAATGGGTCTGGGACTTGTTTATGAGAACCAACGGTTTGTGGAAAAATAAGGTCCAACAAGATGTTGGGACAACTGAGTACCAATATTGCTTGCTAAAAATATGAATAAATTATTGTTGATATCACTGTATAAATAGGGTGATTGTTAGGGTTTGCAATGCATCGGTGTTTTTAGCTAATCACCTCATAGCTTGACAGCATTGAGGTGGTTAGCATTCGAGCTACTGGTGAAGAGAGCATCCGGGGCAAGGATGGCCGGTCGACGTCAGATGCGGGTGATGCGGCATCTTATTCTTGCTCTAGTAGTTTGTTTGAGGGCATGGATGGTCGAGGCTGATATAAAGCCGCACACTGATTCAACTCCTCCACCTCCTTATTACAAATCAACATATCCACGGATACCATGGATTTCTGAACCAAGCCACGGCTCCCCACATTTGTCGTTGCCTGCATTATGGCCTCCTAATTCACATCAACCTGTGTTTCCACCTCCTCCACCATCACCGCCACCACCTTCAAAGCACCGCAAGTCGCCTCCTCCGCCATCACCACCGCCGCCTTCAAGATACCACAAGTCACCGCCACCTCCACCATCACCACCACCGCCTTCAAGTCACCACAAATCACCACCTCCACCATCACCACCGCCGCCTTCAAAACACCACAAGTCACCCCCTCCACCATTTTCCTCACCACCGCCTCCTTCTATTTACACCTCGCCGCCTCCCCCACTTCTCTCACCTCCACCACCTCCACCCCCTCCACCCTTTTCCGCGTCACCACCTCCTTATATTTACACCTCACCACCTCCCCCACCTCTCTCACCTCCACCACCTCCATCTCCATCACCACCACCACCTCCTCCATCATCATCACCTCCTCCTAATATTAACAAGTCTCCACCCCCTCCGTCTCCAACACCACCACCTCCATATGTTAAGTCTCCACCTACCCCATCTCCATCTTCATCTCTATCACCACCTCCTCCATACAATTCTTCACCACCCCCTCCATTTATTTACAGCCCTCCACCCACTGATCCCTCTCTATATCCTCCACCTCCTCCTATCTATAAGTCCCCTCCCACTAATTCACCATTAGCTCCACCACCTTACATAAATCCATCTCCCCCTCTATCATCACCGCCTCTCACACCCTCTACTCCACCACCTCCTTCTCCATCAACTCCTCCTTCTCCATCTTCCTCACTACCACTACCACCTTCACCTTTACTTTCACCTCCACTCTCTCCATCACCTCTTTCGCCTTATAATTACGAATCGCCATCTCCATCTCCCTTGCTATCACCTCCACATTCACCTTTACTTTCACCTACTTCGTCCCCATCACCACTTTCTCCTCACAACTATGAACCCCCATCTCCATCTTCTATAGTACCACTTCCACCATCACCTTCACTTTCACCTCCTCCTTCACCTTCACCTCTTTCTCCTTATAATTACGACCCCCCATCTCCATCTCCGTCACTACAACCTCCACCTTCACCTTCATTTTCACCTCCTCTTTCCCCATCGCCACTTTCTCCTTATAATTACAAACCCCCATCTCCATCTCCATCACTACCACTAGCACCTTCACCTTCACTTTCATCTCTTCCTCCATCACCTCTTTCGCCTTATACCTATGAACCCCCATCTCCACTTCCCTCGCTACCACCTCCACCTTCACCTTCAGTTTCACCTCCTCCATCTCCATCACCTCTTTCTCCTTATCATTACGATCCCCCATATCCATCTCCCCCACTACCACCTCCATCTTCGCCTTCATTTTCACCTCCTCCATCTCCGTCACCACTTTCTCCTCACAACTACGAACCCCCAACTCCATCTTCTGTTGTACCACTTCCACCATCACCTTCACTTTCAACTCCTCCTTTTCCTTCACCTCTTTCTCCTTATAATTACAAACCTCCATCTCCATCTCCGTCACTACAACCTCCACCTTCACCTTCACCTTCACTTTCACCTCCTCTTTCTCCATCGCCACTTTCTCCTTATAGTTACAAGCCCCCATCACCATCTCCATCTCCATCACTACCACTAGCACCTTCACCTTCACTTCCATCTCCTCCTCCGTCAACTCTTTCACCTTATACCTATGAACCCCCATCTCCACCTCCCTCACTACCACCTCCACCTTCACCTTCAGTTTCACCTCTGCCATCTCCATCGCCTCTTTCTCCTAATCATTACAATCCCCCATCTCCATCTCCCCCACTACCACCTCCATCTTCAACTTCATTTTCACCTCCTCCATCTCCATCACCACTTTCTCCTCACAACTATGAACCCCCATCTCCATCTTCTGTAGTACCACTTCCACCATCACCGTCACTTTCACCTCCTCCTTCGCCTTCACCTCTTTCTCCTTATAATTACCAACCCCCATCTCCATCTCCATCACTACAACCTCCACCTTCACCTTCACTTTCACCTCTTCTTTCTCCATCGTACCTTCACCTTCACTTTCACCTCTTCTTTCTCCATCATTACTTTCTCCTTATAATTACAAACCCCCATCTCCATCTCCATCACTACCACTAGCACCTTCACCTTCACTTTCATCTCCTCCATCACTTCTTTCACCTTATACTTATGAACCCCCGTCTTCGCCTACATCACTACCACCTCCACCTTCACCTTCAATTTCACCTCCTCCATCGCCATCACCTCTTCCCCCTTATATTTATGATCCCACATCTCCATCTCCCTCACTGCCACCTCCATCTTCACCATCACATTCTCCTCCACCTTCTCCATCCCCTCTTTCTCCATACAACTACAATTCCCCATCTCTATCTCCCACACAAACACTTTCACCTTCACCATCAATTTCACATCCTTCTTCCCCTTCGCCGCTTTCTCCTTATAATTACAAACCACCATCTCCATCTCCCTCACTACCATCTCCAACTTCTCTTTCGCCTACTCCTTCTTCATCACCTTCACTTTCACCTCCTCCTTCTCCATCATCGCTTTCTCCTTATAACCAAGAACCTCCATCCCCTTCTCCCTCATTATCACCTCCATATTCACCTTCACTTTCACCTCCTACTTCTCAATCACCTCTTCCTCCTTATAATTACAATCCCCCATCTTCATCACCATCTTCACCTTCACTTTCACCTCCTCCTTCTCCATCACCTCTTTCTCCTTATAACCAAGAACCTCCATCCCCATCTCCCTCACTATCACCTTCATATTCACCTTCACTTTCACCTCTTCCTTCTCCATCAACGCTTTCTCCTTATAACCTTGAACCCCCATCTCCCTCACTACCATCTTCATCTTCACCTTCACTTTCACCTTCCCCTTCTCCATCACCTCTTTCTCCTTATAATTATGAAGCCCCATCTCCATCTTCCTCAAACTCATCTCCACCTTCACCTTCACTTTCACCTCTATCTTCTCCATCACCTCTTTCTCCTTATAATTATGAACCCCCGTCTCCATATCCTACATTACCACCTCCCTCTTCACCTTCAATTTCGCCTTCACCATCACCTCTTTCTCCTTATAATTATGAACCCCCATCTCCTTCTCCCTCACTACCATCTCCACCTACTCCTTCACCTTCACCTTCTCCTTCTCCATCACCTCTTCCTCCTTATAATTACAATCCCCCATCTCCATCTCCTTCCCTACCACCTTCACCTCCACCTTCACTTTCTCCTCCTCCCCAAATACCTTCTCCTCCTTCACCATCACTTGCACCTCCTTCTATTTATAATTCCCCACCACCACCTCCTCATGATCCATATCTCTCACCTCCACCTCCTCATGTCTATGAATCACCACCCCCGCTTTCTCTTGCTCCACCTACTCCTTCTGCATATAATTCCCCACCACCACCCTCACCGACGGATCCATATCTCTCACCTCCACCTCCTCATGTCTATGAATCACCCCCTCCACCTTCTCCTTCACCACCTCCTCCTTTTTCATATAAGTCTCCGCCACCACCTTCATCATCTCCTCATGTTCCATATCTCTCACCTCCACCTCCTCATGTTGATGACTCACCCCCTCCACCTTCTCCTTCACCGCCACCTTCTCATGTCGATGAATCACCCCCTCCACCTTCTCCTTCACCGCCACCTCCTTTTTCATTTAAGTCTCCACCACCACCCTCGTCATCTCCTCCTATTCCATATCTCTCACCTCCACCTCCTCATGTCGATGAATCACCCCCTCCACCTTCTCCTTCACCGCCTCCTCCATATTCATATAAGTCTCCACCACCTCCTCCTTATTCATATCAGTCCCCACCACCTCCCTCTCCATCGCCTCCTCCTCCATATGAATATAAGTCCCCACCCCCTCCATCCCCATCACCTCCTCCTCCTTATGTCTATAACAACCCTCCTCCTCCACCACAATTTACTTCACCTCCCAACATCTTTACACCCCATCCACCCTTACCTTTTAATTCACCTCCTATTGTTAATAAGTCACCTCCACCTCCATCTCTATGGCCTCTTCCTCCTTATATGTATAAATCTCCCCCTCCACCTCTTCTTTCACCACCCACTCCTTATGTTTATAAGTCTCCACCACCTCTCCTACCATCACTTTCTCCTCCATATATATATAAATCTCCATTTCCTTCATCTTTATCACCTCCTCCTTATCTTTATAATTCCCCTCCACTTCCTTATAAGTCCCCAATTACCCCTTTCCCATTTTCTCCAATATATAAGTCACTGTCTCCTCCTTCACCAAAACACCCACTTCCTTAAATTTATAAATCTCCTCCATCACCTTTACCTCCCCCGCGTCGTCTCTAATGTTGCAAGTAATAAGTTCCAAGCTTTATTACAACCAATTTCCACCATAATATTTATGTGAGTATAATTGAAGCCATATATTTAATCATTAATATTAGCCAAAGCATTTATTCATGTTTAAAGTTCTTACTTTTTTTATTTCTCCTTTACAGAGCTATACAAGTTTTTAATAAGTCAATAAAGTTGCTGAGAAGCTTCTACTTCAAGATGCAATGTTGATGTTATACTTCATGAGGAATGATGAAAACATTGAAGTCTCACAATTTCTAAAGTTATATTTCAATTAAACAAGTCTTTTTTGGTTTTTTATATTATGAATACCACAGAGGCAATTGTATCACTTCATACTTTTTGCAAAATATTTGCAACATGTACCATTTGAGAAATTCAATATAATGGGTCATATATCAATGTGCTTTTATTCCTGTGATATATAAGGAATTATATTAAAAGAACTTAATAAAAAATGTATTTCACATTTACTAAAATAGGGAGATTAAAAAAGAAAACTACTTGACTTTCATTAAAAATTTATAAAGTAATATTTAAGTGTTACATGAAAACACTCAAAACATATTGTTTTTAATAAGACAAAATTTGATTTTTCTTGTAGTTTTTACAAAATATTTCAATATTTTATAAGCATATCTTGTAGTTCTGATATTACAAACTTGAACTTATTGAGGGAGCAGTTGAAAGGAGCGAGGAGCAATTCTATCAAAATACTTCTCATTAGTTGTGTAGAGGAAGAGAAAAGGTTAAAGGATAGTAAGATAAATGTACTAAAAGAGAAAAATGAAAGTAATAATTTTAAGTGATTGATTTTTTAGTCTTCGACCATTATGTAGTGGGAGAATATAGCGTGCTGATCCGAAAATGAAAATCTGGCAAGTGAAATATTTTTAAATGAGATTCAGAATGTAAAAAAAAAAAAAAGCTATGTGTTTCCCTTTTTTCTAGGATACTCTGTCGAATGACATGAAGAAATGAAGTTAATATTTTTATATACTGAGAGTAAAATAATATGCAAGTAATAAGAGAAAAACAATATAAAATAAATTTTATTTCATAACTAAAAGTCCCACAATTGATTCAACTGAAGAAAACAAGGAAATAATTAACTTAAAAACACTGAAATGATAATAGGAAAATAAATACTCATATCTAAAAAACAAAATGCTATAATTACTGCAAAACTGAGAATACCCAATAGAAATCTAGGACCTGAATACCCAATAGAAATCTAGGACCTAAAGATTTGCTCCTATGGGGCCGGTCCTACAAAAGCTTGAATAGAATCTGTTATACAAAATATATTAGCTGAGGAGTTTGACAAAACAAACACAATATATAACCACTATTTATTAAAACATAAACTTTAAGAAAGTGGAGCATGTAGTAGGAGCAAAAAGAGAGTCAATTCCTATATGCATATATAAAATCATAAGTCAACAAAAGTATGGAAAACAAAATATATATGCTCAATTATGTAAAGAAAATATGCAATCAATCTAAATTTGATCGAGTTTTGCCAATATATATATGTATGCTATGTGCTACTTTACACAAGCTGATTATATGGAAAATCTGCATTCAATTCATAAGTGTGAAGTGCAAGAAAAAATAAAATTATAATTGCATGATTTGTTCAAATATGTAAGAAGTTATGTAACAATAAAATAAGACAACTAATCATTTCATCATAAACAATAAATGATAACAAGTGCAAAATAGAAAATATAAATGAAGTAACAATGACATGACTAGGAATCTTATAAAATAGCCATGAATATACTACGAATAGCAAGAATAAAGCCTCTAAATAAGAAGGAAATGTTTATCATTTAAGAAAATAGTTACTTATCTCAAGGTGAATGACAACACTCTAAATGCTTTAGTAGTTCAATCCATGTCAACTAGTAGGTCTTACACATGTTGAACTCCTAAAAGTTACTTATGCACATAACCAGCATTTCCCCACCACACTGCTCCTTTTAAGCTGCGCCAAAAGCGCCCTTCAGCATGTCATAAGCTATAAATAAAATAAAACTAGATTAATTTCACATTAAAATAATAGAACAACATTTACATACATTTACACATATAACTTTCAAATCTTTAATATCATATAAAAAAAATATCACTACTACTATTTTTTTTTTTGAAAAAAATGATTTTTTCATGTATAAACTTATAACATTAAAGTATAGATATCGAAATTTTTATCATATTTATAAATACAAAATAATTATGTAATTTTTATGTAACTTAAAATTTATATTTCAACCACCAAAATTTTATTTCCCGTTTAATTTAAAATTTTTGGTGATTTTTGAGTGGTTGAAATATTAAATTTAAATTTTTAATGATCAATTCATTATATTTAAAATTTTAGCTGATTAATGTGTTAAATCTAAAAAAAAGAAATTATTATTGTAGGCATCGAAGCCGTCTGTTTTTGCGTTGGACCGTTGTTCCGTTGCGTAGCGGCTCGCTAACCTCGCTCCTTCTCTCTGTTGTTTCTCTCTCCTGGCTTTGCCTGGTTGATGGCCGTCCATCGCTGCGGCTCGCCTTCGAGTTGTGATCGCCGGTATTGCACTCCGCCCCTTAGACCGGAACCTTAGCGGCCTCGCCGGCGATATCTATCGGAAACCCTAAGTATGGCGATCCGGAGTTTGTGGTTGAGAATTTTTCCCAAGGGGAAGCAGAAGAGATTGAATGGGCTATTCAAGTCCAAGCCGCGGACGCCGGCCGAGATTGTGCGGCAAACACACGATCTACTTGTTGACATTGATTCGAATTCGAGTACAAGCAAAAGCAAACAGGAGGAGAAGGTTCGGTTTCTTATTGCCGAAGTTTAATTACTTTATGTTACTGATTGTCGTTTTGAAAAAAATTCCGAAAAGGGCGGGCTGAGCGATTCTGATTTGAGGAGAAGTCGATTAAGAAGTGTATTCTTTTACTTATTTATTTTCGGATTTGCAGTTTAGTGCAGACGTTTTGTCCATTAATGTGGCTTGCATTGACATTTGGCTGCTTGGGAGTGATGTGCATTGAAAATATTCGATTTCTGGAGAGGTTTTTTGTTGAAATTTTAGTGATCTGTAATGTATTTTTTGAATTCTGCCTTGTGGATAATTTTGTGAGGGCGATACATTTCAGCTGAAGCTCTATCTTTGTTGTCATCAATATCTCCTTTTTTTTTTCAAACGACATATTTGTTGTCAGTGATATTGTTCAAATCATCTTTTTGAAGAATTAAACCACGCTTTTCTAGGAATCAAATCAAGCGAATTTTTTAAATTGTGCTATTTGAGAAGTGAACAATTATGTCTGTTTTCGCACCTTTTTTCTGGCTCATATGAAATATCATTTTTTTTTTTATTTAGTAAAAATGCTAGAATATTTGTTATCTAGCTGGTTAAGATTCTTTGTCACTAAAGTTCTATCTTTTCTTTAAGATTGTAAAGAACTAAGCGCACTTTACTGCCTTTATATAATGTAAATTTAAATATAATTATGTTAGCGTACTTTAAAAATTTAAAAGCAGTCTAGCAAATTTAATATCGGAAGTCATTTTTTTATTTAAAAAAAAATACAGCCCACTAATTATCTCACCAGTTTGCCAACATAGCAACAAATTGTTTTGGAGATTTTTTTAGTGGATGTAGCTCAAATGCATGGTTTCTCGTACATACTATTTTGTATTTATTGTGTCAGAGTGTTTCCCAATTTTATTTTAGGTAACTAAAGGTTAAAAACATTGGGAAAAGTATAAAGATATTCTTTTTATGGTAGATTGTCAACTCATCAAGTCAATCCACAAAATACAAATTTATAAAACAAATTCAAATCATCTGCACAATCACAAATACAAAGTAGAGTGAAAATCATTAATTACCATAAAAAGTTCATAGTTTGTAAGGAATTGTAAGCAAGCACTAAAAGCACTATTCAAATTAGGCCATCAATTGCACAATCTTCTGTTTAAGCTGCTCTTTGGCCCCAACGAACTTTGCGACCTTCTTCAGTGAGAATTCTCACCTTTAAATCTATACAAGGGAGGCGTGTTGCTATACTAACGGGCTACAAGAGTTTTTCAAATCGTTTTGGAATAATGCAGTGTTTGCTTCCATCAACGTCAGTTATATTCATATAAGGTCGAGTGGAGAGTGAGTATTTTTTTCTCTTAGGTTTACAGGTGGGGATTCTCTTTCAGTGAAATCACAATGGCATTTTAAAAGTAGGATGGATAATTCAATCAAATGTATATGTATACATTTTTGTTTTTTTATTAATGCACCTTCATGGCTATCCAATTTAGATAGTTGTTTGGTGAATTCAACCTTTTTGCGGGATTGTGTTGATCATATTATATATATATATATATATATATATATATAATTTTTTTTGTTTTGATTGATATTATTATTATTATTCAGGGTATCTTTATCTCTGCAGATAACTGAGCTTTGTAAATTAATTTGGGAGTTGAAATCTTTGTTATATGGGAACAATGAAGCTGAACCGGTGCCTGAAGCATGTGCACAATTAACTCAAGAATTTTTCAGAGAGAATACCCTACGTCTTCTTATAGTTTGCCTTCCAAAATTAACTCTTGAGGTATATTTATAAACTAGTGAATCTTGCTAGTTAATTTTTAAGAATTGATTTGAGCTAGTTTTATAGTTTTTGGCATATTGCATATTTTGCAATGTGTCATTCCAATTAATTTTATAATAAAAAATATTTATTTTTTAAAGTTTTGAATCATATATGAATCAGAGCTTAATCCTATTCTACTTGACATGAGGAATATCATTCTTCATTATAATTGTTTTTATCTGTGTTATTGCAGGCTCAAAAAGATGCCACTCAAGTAGTTGCAAATTTGCAGAGGCAACAGGTTCATTCACGGTTAATTGCTTCTGATTATTTGGAAGCAAACAAAGACCTTTTGGACATTTTAATAAATGGGTGAGCTATTCTGCCATTTCTTTTGACGCAGTTCTATATTTTGGATTTAAGCATATTATGACTTGGTATTTGATGAGAAATTAAATTTTCTTTTTGGTAAAAGAGGAACAAATATCAGCATTTTAGGCATCAACAAATATTTCAAACTAGAGTGGATAAATCATAGCTAGATATATCTTTGTTGTAGATGATTTTTTAATTTGTGTTTTTATCCTTTTTTTTTTCTAAGTCTTAATTTATTATTCTTGCAGATACAATGACTTTGATGTCGCTTTACATTATGGTTCCATGTTGAGGGAATGCATTCGGCATCAAAGTATTGCAAAGTATAAGTGGATCAAAATTGAAATTCATATGTTTTGTCTTTATAGACTTAATAAAGTATAGCTAAAAAGACAGAATTTTGCAGGAATATGCCCTCAATTTTCTTGAGGATCTATAATTTTTTTTTTCAAGGATATTATGCTATTTCCTCTCAACTTTTGTTTATTTTTGGCTAACACTACTATAGACTCAATGAACTTTTTTTTTGGATTATTTCTTCATAGGTCTGTTTTGGAATCTGAACACATGAAAAAGTTTTTTGACTATCTTCAGTTTCCAAATTTTGACATAGCATCAGATGTGTTCGCAACTTTTAGGGTAAAATTACTTTATCCTTTTCTCCTTCAACACTTTTTTCCTAATCATGTGCTGGTTGCCAATCTCATACTATGAATGTTCAATTTATTTCTTTTTTATGCATATTCTAATACCTGTGAGCTACAAATGACTTGTGAAATATCGCGGCTAGGCTACACTGAGGATTATGGAGTACAATAGTGATGTATATTTATATTATATAGACGCATTTTATTGGAACATGTTGCGTACATTAGCAGAAGAGCTTACATGCTCTTTAGATTACAATACATTTGGGGCTCTGGAGGCATTTTGATTGGTGGCTTCATTTTTAGCCAGTGTGCTATCTTACTGGAGAGCATGTGTACAAAAGCTTGTAAATGATTTTGTAACATTTAGTTTCATCATGTTAGGGACACTAGATGGCTGTGAGATATCCTTTATTTTATGTAAGTGCTTCTGTTTATTTATTTTGCAGAAGGGTGACAATTTGGACGGATTTGAAGATTTTTATATTGGAAAGTTTTTTATGATCTGAGACGAGTTATGGCAATATATGCAGTGATGATTAACATTCTCGCCTTCAAATAGCTAAAAATCAATTTGCATGTGTAAATTCTGATGAAATCATATTTTCACGAAGGCCGAGTTATAGCTAGCTTTGAAGGTTGACCTTGAAGGATAAATGTATTGTGTAAGGCCTCATTTGAGAGTTAGTTTCGTCTCCGTTGCAATTTGGCAGACACGCGGAGATTTTTCACCGGACGTTTGGATGGATTTCTCACCACTTTTTTCTTTTACCGCAATGGAAATTCTCTTTCATTCCAAAACATGAACTTGTACTGGCTTTGCGACCAACATTCGGCATTTGGTAGTGAAAATGTCGAAAATACTCTAATTCCTTCGCCTCCGTTTGTCCTCATGCCTTTTCTTTTGTAGCGTAGGGAGAGGTGGAGAGAGTTCACCGGAGTTTAGATCCTCTGCGAGTGTAGAGACAACGAAATTGAAGAAAGATTGATTTCGTGGCAGTGGAGGAAGGCTGCTTTGTGCAGTATTAGACGCCATGCGCCATCGTGCGGCTGAAGAGCTTGGCAGTGAGAGTATAATGCAGCTGCGGCATGAACCAAAACTCCGACTCAAGTCCAAGCGGCAGCATGGATAGGATTTCCACCCTAATTCCTTTTCGGAGATGACGGTTTATGATAGACTTTTAACTTCTATAATAAAGTGAGAAAATGCACACAAAATTTTCTATCTAAATAGTCATTTTATTTTACCGAAATTAACTTTAAAATGGATTTTTTTTTAGACGGAGCTTTTAAACGAAATTTTTTGAACGGTAAAGCCCCGTCAAACGAGGCCTTAGTGCGGCAAAGTAAACAAAGATAGATGTATTTTTAAACGAATAAGAATTAGAGAAAGATGGATGTATTTTTGACCGAATAAGAATAGGAGCATGGCTTAAATGGTCTTAGAACAAGATATTCAAAAGCGAGGTTACAACTCGTATAAGCAGCTTCAGGTTGGATGTGCTATGATATGGATGAAGGAAGCATGAGAGATGAATGAGTATTAGGAGAGGTCTCCATTTATAGAAAATAGGAATATCTTTGATTTCATAAGAAAGCAATCTTATCTACATCTCTAAAATGTTGAGTAACTTGAGGGACAATTTTCTATGTAACACCAATATCTTAACTATTTATAGAATCACCGCAATCCCACCTCCATCATTTAATTTTTTTAAAATACTAAAATTCATGACAAATGCATGCCATAATTCAATTTTAAACCTATTATTAGCTAAATGGAAATAAAATAATAAATCATAAATAAATTTAATTAATAAAATATAATTCATATCATAAACTAGCTATCATTAGTCTAGATCTGGACCAAGCCCTGATCTTTGTTTTTCTCTCTTGTGATGCATCCATTTTCTTAAGGACTTTGTAATTTGTCTCTTTAGAGTCATAAGAGTGATAATGGTTAAGTAAATATAATACCATTTTGATGAATTCTCCCTCTGTAATCCAATATTCTTGAGCAGAATGTTCTTTCATCAATAAACATTAACTATGCTTGTATATTTCTCAATTTTTCTTGGCAATTTAAACCTTTATATTGTCATGAAGTTTTTGTATATGCTCATAAAAAAATTGCACTATATTGATAATATTTTAGGCATTGTCATAATGTCATGAGGCCTATTGTTGCTCTAGGATGAATATCATAGACAGGACTTGTGATATTTCAATAAAAGTATGAAAATATTTAGGAGATTAGAAAATTTCTTGGCTTACTAAACTAGTTAATATTACTTTTAACACTAAAAAGATGTATGATGAGTAGAAAAAGAGTCTATTAGTTCCTATTTTTATGAATAAAGGAGATGCACAAGAGTATGCAAATTATAGAAGAATTAAATTAATGTCATACATTAAGATTATGGGTGAGAGTAGTTGAACATACAAAATTTTCTCAAAATCATTTTGAATTCATGTTGGGCAAGTCTACTATGGAAGCTACACATTTATTGAGAGGTTTGATGGAGAAATCCTGAGTGAGGAGGATCTACATATGATTTTTGTTGATTTAGGGAAAAATAACTTATCAGAAAGTTCCAAGAGAAGCACTTGGGAGAGTTCTAGAAAGAAAGATGTTAATATTGCTTATATTCAAGTCTATAAAGCTATGCATACTAGAGCAGTACTTGTATTCAAACACACAAAGGATTGACCAAGTATTTTTCTATTTCAGTTGGGTTACATCAAGGATTGACTTTAAACCCATATCTTTTTGCTTTAATTATGGATGCTCTTACTCAACATTTGTAGGAGGATGCACCTTGGGGTATGCTTTTCGCTGTTGATATCCTTCTTGTGAATAAGTTGATAGAGTTCAAGAAAACTTGAATTATGGCAGTTAATTTTAGTCTAATGGCTTTTTTTTAGTAGATCAAAATTGAATGCATGAAATGTAATTTTAGTAGTAGATCTAGTGGCGAGGTTGTAATGGGTGATCAAGTCATTAAAATGAGTGAACGTTTTAGCTATCTCACATCTATTGTTCAAAATGATTATGAAATAGATGGGAAAGGCTATCAAAAAGCTCGTTGTTCGCGAATAGCTCGTGCTCAGCTCGTTATGTAGCTTGTATTCAATTCGTTCGTTAAATAAATGAGTCAAATACAAATGAATTTTTGAAGCTTGATTTATAAATGAGCTGAACAAGAACAAAGGTTTGTTCATTTGTGTTCGGCTCAATTTGACTTTAATTAACTAAATAATAAATAAATAATATTCGTATAATATTTATATATTAAAATTTATATTGTATGTAAAAAAAATATTAAATTTTAAATAATTTTAGCTAACATTGCAAATGAAAAATAATTTTTTTATGTTAGATATGTAAATACATAAGAATTACTTGGTACATATGTAAATACAAAAAAGAATTGTTCTTCGCTTGTCTGCCTGCGCTTCCCACCAACAGTCCCACTTAAGCAACTTAAAAGTCCGATCACAGATTCACAAAAAAAGAAAAAACCTTATATTGAACATGTAAATACATAAGATTTGCATGGTATGTATGCAAATGCCCGAAAATTCTTTCCCCGCCTTCTCCAGCCTTGTGGTCTCGCTGCCTCTGCCTTTTGTCTCCCTCACTTTAATCCCACATCTTGATACTAAAAAAAAATAAACTTTTAAGTTATGCTTTATAAATATTGCATAGTAATGTTTAAGGGAAACAATTTCATGCTTAAATCTCTAACCACGGGATCACACAATTGTGGATAAATTTTAAAATTAAAAAAAATTAATTTTGTTACTTAGTTATATTATTTGACTTATAAAATTTTAATAAATTATAATTTGATAACGAGCTTAATTTGAATAAACCAGTTTGAATTGAGTCGAACACGAATAGACTATTAACAAGGTGTTTCGAACACGAGTCGAACTCAAACAACAAAAAATTTAAAGGAGCTGAACTCAAAGCAATTTTAAGCTCGCACAAGTTCGGCTCATTTAGGATTTTATTAGTAAAATTGGAGTTGGATGGTTGAAGTTAAGGAATGCATCAGGTGTATTGTGTGATAGGAAAGTACCACTAAAGTTAAAGGAAAATTTTATAAGATGGTGAAAACTGCAATGCTTTGTGGCACAAAATGTTGGCCTATAAAAGCGAAGCATAAAATTAAGTGTTGTTGGGATGAGAATGCTAGATGGATGAGTGGCTTTACACTTAGATGCAAAATGCAAAACAAATATATCCGTGAAAGGGTTGGAGTAGCTCCAGTGGCACATAAGATTAGAGAGAGTCACCTTAGATGGTTTGGTTACATAAAACATTGACTATCTGATGATCATGATAGTAGAGTCAAATTTGTTTTAGATTGGACTTATGTTAAGAAATGTAGAGATAGACTTGTAAAAAGTGATCTTAATTTAGTAGAATTCAATGAAAGTACGACACTCGATAGGACATAATGGAGAAAATTATTAATGTAGCCAACCGAACTTAGTGGGATAATGACTTGTAGTTGGTATTATTGTTCCTGTATATGTTTACATCAAGCATTATTATTGAGTCCATGTATCACATTTGTTTTGTAGATGCTGATAATGGATATTTAATGTGGGGTGCTTTGGTGTATGATATTTGCAGATGCTATAGTTTAACTAAGTGATTTAAAACAATGGTGGTTCTGTTGTGAACAATAATCTTTCAATATTGTTTGAAGATATTGTGACATCTAAGTGTAATAGATTTAAATATGTTGGATCTATCAAAAAGATGAATGGAGATATAGAAGATATAACATCAAGAGTTAAGGCAATATAGTTTAAATGAAATAGTGTCTGAAGTGTTTTGTGTGGTAAGTTGATATCATAGAGGTTTAAAGTTAAATTTTATAAATCACAATTAGTCTGATGATTCTATATGAATTCAAATATTGTTATGTAAAAATGTTAATGATATTTAAGTTGAGCGTGATAGAATTTACCATATTAAGTTGAATTTATGTCAAAATTAAGAAACTTAAATTTAGAACTAATTGTATTATAAAAAATGTTGGAGAAATATCTATTGAACATAAGGTGACTCAATATAAGTTGGAGTAATTTTACCCTAAAGCTACATGGATAAACCTAAAGTTACATGGATAACAATTCAAAATGATTCCCATATGGATAACATATATACGTTTAACACCTTTAACAACACTCAACATGAAAATAGAAGAAAATGATGATTCACTTTTTATGGCAAATGATAATGCCAGCTATGTTACTATTTATTATTATTATTTTAGTTGTTATTAAAAATTTGAGGTTTTTTAAAAACTATTTGTAATCGGATAATTTCTTTATAAAATTAAATCTCAAAATAATCTCCCAATTACTTGCATATGACCAGTTTAGTTTCAAATAGTCATCTTTCTCTAATTTTGTCTCTCCATTATACAAAATTTTTCTAAATTAGTCCCTTGTGTTGAAATCGTGATATAAAACTGATATCAATTCATTCTCTCGACTTTACAAAATTGATATCAACTTATCATTTTGGAACAATTTTGCGTAGCTGGGGGGAACTTATCATTTTGGAACAATTTTGCGTAGCTGGGGAGACTAAATTGAAGAAATGTGATAGTTTGTGACTAAATTGACACATACGAATATTTAAGGAATCTTCTTCAAATTTAACCCTATTTTTTTTAGAAGCCTTATAATTATTAAAAAATGCTTTCAAATTTGATAAATATATTTATATTCTATTATGTATGTATGTAGTAACATTAATTCAATTTTTGTCCAAGTTCTATTTTTTCCATTGACTATTGTGTACCATGTTTTTATTGTATCATGAAATATATATAACAACACTTCAAATAACTTTTTTGATGTTATGTATTTTTTAAGAACTGTTAAACCCCATGCGCATTTTACTTCGTGTTCATGTCACCATATACACGCATAATAGGTATGGTGTTGTTTCTTTTTGGAGAATCAGAGCTCATAAATATTTTTTAAAAATTATTCCTAATGGTAAAATGCTAAGGGCCTATCGGGAGCACTTTTTGTTATTTCTTTTTTTTTTTTTTTCTGTTTTGCATTTTAACTTTGTTTTTTTAGGTTTTGATTTAAAATAGAATACTTTTGACATGCTGAAAATAAATCAAATTATTTTTCAAAAACTTGAAACAACTTTTCTAGTTGTTTAGATGGTGTTAAAAATAAAATATAAAATACATGAAAAATATACCAACTAAATATGTTTTTTAGAAAAGCAAATATAATTGACAAAAATAAAAAACAAAATTAATCCCAAATGGCCCCGAAATTTGCTCAAAATTTACTTCTTCTTTGGGTATTTTCTCTTGGCTTTTTTACCTTCTTACTGGTAAAGTTCTTAAAATCTATCCATCTTTCATAATTCCCTCTATTCTCTCTCTCTTGATCTGTACCAAATAACTTTCGTGATACTTGTCGATGTTACTATATGTTCCCCTTAATATGGTTTGTCCATACGACCTATCAGAATTCATTCTATGCAAGCACGTCTGAATGTAGTGATTGCTTTACACTTTAATGCTGTATTTTTAGGCAATAAAGATAAAATTTGAAGCCACTAGTGCTATAATATGAATCCCTTAATCTTATAAGTTGTGCTATTCTATCATGCTTATTGTTCAATTATCATTTTTAATCTAGCTTTGTTTTCATTAATTAAAGCTTTAAGCGTTACTTGGGTTGAATATACAAAACTTTGGATGTAGACATTGCTTTTTATAACCAAATAACCAGATTGTATGGACATGCTCCAAGACCCGACCGAAGTAGGTTAAATTGTTGTTCACGATGGCTGGGATGACAACCAGGACATGCTCCAAGGTTCGAGGAAAATGATATTGATTATCATTTTCTGCCTATGCGTATCATTTTTATCTAAGGCCACCAAATTCCTATATATTTACATACATAAGACTTAAACTTTACATTTTACATTATGCAACCCAAATCTTTAAAATCTCATAAAAAATATGACTATTTTAACTTTTAAAATGTGAAATGCACCTTTTCTTGTATGGGTAGGTATATATGTAAAGATTGTAGGTTTTAGATGTGCGAGTACATTGGAATTGAGTGGTGTGTATGTATATCTTTGAAAGTAAGCACCTTGATAACCTGATCTGTGCATATTACTATTACAAGTTTTGTATATTTAATGTATTATATATGTATTGTATGGTTTCTCAATTCACAGTTAATCTCATATTTGAATGTCCGATGTTTCGTGGCCGAACGAGTCGAGCTGTTTCGGTTTCTTAAACTTAACCGAACTTTAGCATATGTAGGTGGCCTTATGTTTCTTAATGAACTGTTGAACAGTGACTATCATCCTTTATGTTGGGTGTAATATGGTTGAGCAAGTGACATTATAGTGTGGTTTAACTAAGCTAAATTATGTTCATTAATCATTTAGTTACACTCCACCTGATTTGTTTAATAGTTCTATAGAAAATATAAATAGGTTCATGTACTCTTTCAGGAAAGTTTAATTAGAACCTGGCGTAGGAATTCATATTTTTTTCAGTGGTTTTTTATTGTTTGCAAACTTTGATAGTCAATGGCTCAGTAAATATATCTGCATAAATTATTTAAGAATTATCTATGGGTTACTTTGCTTTTTGCCCCACTATAATAAAAATCTGACCAACAGACTGATTCGGAAACATTAAGGGGTATCATTTTTCTTTTCTGGGCAAGTTTCTTGTATTATTATAATTTCCCTTCAATATCTCAACTTATTTTGAAAAAAAATTGAACTTTAACCTTTTGGTATATCTGTTATTCTACAGGATGGATGGTTTTTAATTCTTTGTTCAAAAAAATTGGAAAAATCGTTCTCTTTTAGTTGAATGCTACACCAACTCTGGACTCAGACTTGTTATACATAATGACAGTGCTATACTTAACTAAAAATATTGACTGAGCTGCAGAGCGACTGTCTTTGAATTGCAGGAGCTCATGACAAGGCATAAATCAACAGTAGCTGAATTCCTTTCTAAAAATTATGATTGGGTATGTTATCCTCATCAATGACTTGCTGTTTGTGCTTTGTTATTCCTTGCAATGTGGAACTGTAAAATGTTTTCTTTGATATATTTTCAGGTGATTCTTTAGTGTATAGCTGAATTGGTAGAGTTTTTTTTTTATTTTTACAGCATACATGTGGTCTGATATTTGCTTGTTTTGTTGGTCAAGTTGTTCGTGCCTCTTTATCCTTTCTCTAGAATGATTTTTATAGTTTCTTTATTCTCCAAAATTGTATTATTTTCTTAGAGTTGAAAATATGAGTTGTGAACAAAGCTATGCATGCTTATTTTGGTAGCATGTGTCCAATATAAGTGTTATGTGCAAGGTTTTAAAAAGCTGACATGACAAGCTAGTTCAACCAGTTTGATTGTGAATTGGGCATACAAACGGTCCTGTTTTTCTGAAAAATAATTTTGCATTAAACTGGTGTGAACCACCCGCTCAACCGGTGATGTGGTGAACTAGTCCCTGTTATATTGAAGTGGCCAATCCAAATAACATGTTTAATCTCCCTTAATTGACCATCAATTTTGCACACAACCTAATATAACATGATTGTATTATGTATGTTGAGGTTAATGGTTCCTAAAAGAGAAATTGAAAGGTGGGCTAACTTACACTTCATATGTCCCTATATGGAATCAACTAATCGATATATTTACCAAAGGATTTTGCATCCTCACATTCAAAAATATTGTAGGCAAGCTTGAAATGATAAATCTCTACCATCATGTTCGAGGGTGAGTATTGAATTTCCCTCTCCTCCACATTGGGGCCTACTCGCTTTCCAATCATTGCAAAGAAGTTAAGACACACGGATCAAGACCTTAGTCTATAAGATCAATTTCTTTATGCCCCTCAGATTATAATCCTTGGGCTTCCCATAGGGTCGGCCCCGTGTTATTTTTATTTTTTTTATTTATTCCTATTTTAGAATGCCTACTGAAGATTTGTAGATACCTTATCTCTTGTACAAAACAAGAATATTAAAATTCTTGAGAGCCTTCTTTATTCTTTTATTTTCTATAGATAATACTTGCGTACAAGTTTCATTTATTTTTTGTCACATATTCACATTATTGTATTATTTAAATTATATTTAAACAATTTAAATATTATTATGTTGCCGCTTTAACCTCAATTAAACCATCGGATATTGAACATCTCTTTCTCACGGTTCAATGACAAATCCAATCTTCATAACCTTTGTTATGTGTTTTTTGATGAAATAAACCATGATCTTCAAGAGAGAGTGAGATTGTTAAAAATTATATCTCAGCGGTCCGATTCAATTAATCACGATGATTTACACCTCTTTCTATTATTTCAGTTCTTTGCAGAGTATAATGAGAAGCTGCTATCGTCTTCCAACTATGTTACTGCTAGACAAGCTGTCAAGGTTCTGCTTATCTCCTCCATTTGCATTTATAATTCATTTTGATGGATTCTAAATATTAATCACCCTTTTCATTACTGAAATTTAACCAAAACATTGCATTGTTTCAGCTTTTGGGAGATATGTTGGTTGAACGATCAAATTCTGATGTTATGACGAGATATGTGAGCTCGAAGGATAACTTGATTGTCCCCATGAATCTTCTAAGAGTATGATTTCTACTTATTAATGCAGCTTATTTTATACCAAAAAAAGAGAAAAAATAATACGAATCTGGAGATTACCCATAGCACTAAAACCATTTCAATTAAATACTAGGATGATTTACATATATACCCCTCAATTCTTTTTTATTTACATATCTAAAACCTAAGCTTCAATTTTTATGTGCACGCCAAGGTGTATTTCACTTTGTAAAGGTTAAAATGTTTTTTTTTATGTGATGAAAGATCTGTGTGGTATAAATGTGATGATTAAAAGATTAGGTGTTGGATAGGTAAAGACATAAGAATTGGGTGGTGTGTATGTAAATAGGGCTGTCAAAACGGCTCGTTGTTTGCGAACATCTCATGTTCGATTCGTTAAGAAGCTCTTGTTCGGCTCGTTTGCTAAGTTAACAAACTGAACACGAACCAATATTTGTTCGTTCGTGTTCGGCTCGTATCAATTATATATATGTATATATTGATGAGTTGTATTTTAAAAAAATTTAATTGACTACAAGACTACTAAGATTTATAATCAGTTAAAAGTATTAATGAAGAAAATAGAATAAAAATTATTAAATTAGATTCAAATGATATTTTAAATTTT